TCCTTCCTTCCTTCCTTCCTTCCTTCCTTCCTTCCTTCCTTCCTTCCCTCCTTCTGCTAATCTCAGAAGTTACTTCGTGGATTCTGTTTTAAAACAGGCTTTCTAAGTGTTTTTTTTCCCTGGTGGAGCTGGATGGGGAAGAGGATACTGAAGTCACAGATTAAGGGAAAAAAAGACTTTCCATGAGTCAGTCACATAGGCACAAAGTAGAAGTATAGAACAAAATCAGGGCAAACTGGAGATGTTGGACAAGGGACCAAATTAACTTTTTTGGGATGGGGGAGATTGCAAAATATGCAGAAATGGCAGTGTTCTTTTCAGTATGGAAAAGAGGAAGTGCATAAAGAAAGCAGCAATTGGGATATTTTATCTCAAGAAAAGCTCATGAAGAAAAACAGCATACATTTTTTGTGCTATCTGCCCAATAGTGGGTGGTTTGTGAGTGCAGATGAAAACAATTTTGTTTCATACATGTTCTGATTTCTAATAAAGCAGTTGTTTTCAAAATGTGGTTTGGGAAACCCCTGTGAGTCCCCAAGACCCTTTCAAAGGTTCTGCCAAATCAAATCAATAAATATTTTAAAATTTATCAGGTTGAATTTTTAAGGTAGAAAATATTGGTACTGGTAGCCACATAAACTAAGACTCCTTGGGATCTAACATTTTTAAGAATATAAAGGCGTAAGAATCAAAATGTTTAAAAACCACTGTGATAATCTGTACTTGAGTGTAACTTCAGATCAAATCTCACCACATATCACCTTGCATGAACCATTTTTCAGTGGAACTATCAAGTGTGGAGAATCACAGCTATGGATCCAAACTACGGTTTGTTAGTTAGAGGAAGTCCTAAAGCTATAAGTATCAATAGCTCATTTACATACATTGTTACAAAGCATAAATCAAAAGATTCTGTGATACTCTGCATATTTGGAATTCCATTCCCAGTTCTGACATTGGGTTTGAGATGGGTTTTTAAATGCTGACTATTATAGGCTGAGACACCTTGTACCAATGGAAAGCAAATATATGTTTGAGGAGTTCAAGATGCTTCCAAAATAGTTTCTTACTAAGTAATTGCATTTTCCCATTCACAGAATGAAAACTCAAAGCAACACAGCAGCATATTTATAACTCTCCCTTGTTTTTATATCACATTTTCTATCTTCTTTCTTACTGCAAAATACTATGTAAAATAAAAAATTAAGATTAAATAAAAATTGCGTGTATAATAGGTAAAAATTAAAGGGAAAAGCTATAGATTATTTTTGGATTGGCATCTCTATGAATCCATTGCCAAGCACCCTTCGATTTGGTGTTTTAATGAAATATAGATTATGTCATCTTTCTTCATCTCCATTCTGTTCTTCTGGAAGGAGGAGAGTCATGGGCTATCTTTCCCTCTGTTTCTTCTGTGGCAAGTTCCAGTGAAGGCAACAGAAACAACAGAACTTAATCTTGGGAAAATATATACCCCAACCCTCCATAGTATGCCAAATAAAGGGTGTTACAATAGGCTGATGGATGATCTTTTATTGATTTAATTGGAACATATACCACGGAAAAGCTGGGATCATTGAAAAAAACAATAAATCCAATGTTATATTCTCCCCAAAGCATGGACTTTGTCAAGAGGTGCATGTCCATGTAGAATCCAAATATGTTGGACTTCCCCTCTTAAAGTTCTTATGAGTTCAACACAAGTACATCACAACAGTTCTGCTGGATCAGACCAACACCATTGTAATGCAAGTGCTCTGTCCTACAGCAGCCAAGCAGATGCATCAGGGAAACTCACAAAGGGCAATAACTCTCTTGTCCTATTGCACCATAGCAACTGTTATTAAAGACACGTAGCCTTTGATTCTGGAGACAGCAACCAAGATGATTTCTCATTGATAAGCCCTATCCTCTCTGTTTTCATTGGAACACAACTCACAGTTTGGGCTTCATTATAAGGGCAGCTAGTCTGTGGTGCTTCGTGCCCTCTGGATGGCATCTTTTGAGGACACAAATGCACTACAGTAGCTGATGTAGACATGTGTCATTGCTATTTGGTTGTACATACTGTACACCATAGTTAAGGTGTTGGATTAAGACTGAGGAGAGTCAGGTTCAATGGAAATTTCCCACAAATGGCTTCAAATGCCTAGAAGAAAGGCTTCAAGTCTCATTAGTATTTGCATTTTGAGTATTTTTCAGCATTATCATTATTATGTTGTATATCCATTTTACCATAAAATCTTTAACATATTCATCTTCCAGATTCATCTTAAGTAACATTTTATAAACCTTAGTCCAATTTAGATTTATCTTCTGAAAAAAACAGAACTTTTTAAATCAAGTTTAAATATTTAAAAAAATCTATAAACCAACCACAATTGAACCCTACACTTACTAATTGTTTTCTTGTTTTTAGTTTGAATGCCTCTTCTTCAAATATCAACAAGTCGTGATACAGTATGTCATTAAGTTCTAGTAACATCTCCTTTTATGTAATGCTTTATATGGTGATAACCATAAAGCTATCTTATCAGCCAATCTTCTTTTGTACTTCCACCATACATGCCCAATCAATTGCCTAATAGAATGATTTTTTAAAATCAGGATTAGTCTTATATCATAAATAAGCATGCCACCCAAATCTCAAAATAAAACCTTCAAGATCTAACAACCTTGAGTTTTTCAAAGTTATCCATTCTTTTTACAGGCTTTGTAATACAAACTAAAGCAAGCCAAGACCTCCTTTTTCTTTGTCACTTTGTAAGAGCAAAATACTTACTTGGGATAAAACGAAGGGAGTTCTCTTATATGGGCTGCCTCAATCACCTAGACAAAATTGATTATTTGATGAGGTGCCATCAATGTCAGTGTCTACTCTTAGTGACCATGCAGATAGAGTTTCTCCTTGATGATTTGTCCCTAACCTGGGCTTTCAAGTCTCCCAGTGGTGCACCCATCTGGAGAATAACCAGATATTAATTTAGCAAATAAAACAAATAATTTATTAGATAAAAGTTTTGTGTTTAGGAATTATGAGTTATATAGTTGAGCCGCATAAATATAAAGAGGTAGAATAACTTTTATTATGGTATGATTTTCATCCCAAAGGTGCTTTCACAAGAGGCAACTGGACTTTCTAGTTTTTCTTTGAAAAAGTTTTGCTTCTCATCCAAGAAGCTTCTTCAGCTTGAATGAGAAGCGAAACATCTTCAAAGAAAAACCAGAAAGTCCAGTTGCCTCTTGAAAAAGCACCTTTGGGACAACCATGACCTAGATGACTGTAAATCTCCATAGACCTTATGGTTTTCACTTTTCCTAAAAATATGAACAAAAGAAAACCCTATTCCTTCTTTCTCTCCTTTCTTCTTTTCCCTTTCTCTTCTCCCTTTTCTCAGTGTATGTGTGCACTGAGCTTTCACATTTTTAACTACAGTATGTCTCTTTATTGCTGTTTGCTGTCCTATTATTTCTGAGCTTTGTTTCAAAATGGTACACTCTTAAACTACACACTGTATTCTTGAAAAAAGAAAAAATTATAAATGTATAATATAATTAAAACAACAATCCATTCCAATTCAATTCTATCATTAATATTAATATTCATTAAAATCTTAACATTTTGCATGTTACTTTTCAAATAGATCTCATACTTCTATGGGAACAATTATGAACTTTCCATAGTTAATCCCCCCACTTCACTTATATTTTATAAAACATTGACTGATTAAAATGTTCCCGTTCCTTCCTAATTCAATTTTCTCATTTATTTTATTTCATTTATTTTATTCACAAACATTTCACTAAATTACACTAACTATTTTATCCCTCTTTTTAATCATATGTTGTTTCCAATTTTCTAAAGTTATTTCTATTACAAATATAACAATACAATCTTATGTGCCTTTACAGAATCCCTTTTACAGTTAGATTTTCACCCATTGTCTCTAAATGGGTCCTGTTTCTTTATATCTTGCTCCGGACCTTTGTAACTTCTTTTCCTTTCCTTCTTCCCTCTCTTCTTCTCTCTCCCCTTTTTACCCCTTTGTCTCTCTACCTCTATTTCCCTCTTCTGCATTCCCCTTTTCTGTTGCTTTCCAACATTATATTTATTTTTCAAATTATTTTTCTTTTCTTTGGTTGTTTTTTTAAGTCTTAAGTTCTCCATTCTCTTTCCCCCCTTTCCTTTTTCTTCTTCACATAGAGTTGCTTGTTCATTAAAGATGGCTTCTTCTTTGTCCCAGTCTTCTTGTTTTGCAGTCTTTTCTTGTTATTTCTCATAGTTCCAGATCTCCATTTCTAAGAATTGGAAAACGAAGCCAAAAGAGCCCTTCCCTTCTTGTGCATCTTCTTTGTATTTTTTAAGTTCCATTTTCAATTCATCCAAAAGTGATGCCATTGTAAAATTTTTAAACAACCACCCAATTAGTTTTAGTCATTCAAATATAATAACCAAAAATCCAAAAGTCACCAAGCAATCCAAATACACACAAGCT